AAAATTTGATTCAGTGACCAGGAAGGGAGGAAATGTGTATACATATATATGTGTGTGTGTGTGTGTGACTATATACTGCCAACAAAGGTCCGTATAGTTAAAGCTATGGTTTTCCCAGTAGTGATGTATGGAAGTGAGAGCTGGACCATAAAGAAGGCTGATCGCCGAAGAATTGATGCTTTTGAATTATGGTGCTGGAGGAGAGAGTCCCATGGACTGCAAGAAGATCAAACCTCTCCATTCTGAAGGAAATCAGCCCTGAGCGCTCACTGGAAGGACAGATCCTGAAGCTGAGGCTCCAATACTTTAGCCACCTCATGAGAAGAGAAGACTCCCTGGAAAAGACCCTGATGTTGGGAAAGATGGAGGGCACAAGGAGAAGGGGACGACAGAGGACGAGATGGTTGGATGATGTTCTCGAAGCTACCAGCATGAGTTTGACCAAACTGCAGGAGGCAGTGGAGGACATAAGTGCCTGGCGTGCTCTGGTCCATGGGGTCATGAAGATGTTGCCAGTCTACACCTCCCATCATCTCTGGTTATTGGCTATGTTGACTGTCTGGAGTTCAACAACATCTAGAGAGCAACACGTCCCCCACTCCAGTATACAGGTAATACAAATACCAGGAAGCACACACAGTGTATTTTTTATGTGCAGGTTCAAATTTGTATGCACACCCATGCTTTCATAGAAGAATCTTAGAACTTGGAGGGACCACGAGGGTCATCTATGCAATGCAGAAATCTTTTGCCCAGTGTGGGGCTCAAACCCACAACCCTGAGATTAAGAGTTTTGTGCTGTGCGCTCAGTTTTCATTAAAGCTTGTTTTTTTAATTCATAAAGCAGCAGGCTCGAGGTCTTGGACCAGTCTGGGCTCCGAATTCAGCTCCTCAGCTGGAGACTCTGCAGCCTCAGGTTCCAAGTCTTGAGTGCTGCTGGACTCTGAGGTCACAACTGGAGGGGGCACCGGTTTGGCTCTGCCAGGGCACCTGCCCTGCCTTGACCTCACCATTCCACCTCTCCCCTGCGTTGTACCAAGTGCATGGTGGCGATGCCACGCCCAGGGAGCCCGGTCTGTGGCAGTGAGCCACTCCTGGCACTTGTCCAGAGCTGCTACGGCTACAGCTGGCAAATGGAACCTCCAACTTCACAGGCAGTGTATCTGCAAAGACAGGGATGCGGGTGGCGCTGTGGGCTAAACCACAGAGCCTAGGACTTGCCAATCAGAAGGTCGGCGGTTCGAATCCCCGCGACGGGGTGAGCTCCCATTGCTCGGTCCCTGCTCCTGCCAACCTAGCAGTTCGAAAGCACATCAAAGTGCAAGTAGATAAATAGGTACCGCTCCAGCGGGAAGGTAAACGGCGTTTCCGTGCACTGCTCTGGTTCGCCAGAAGCGGCTTAGTCATGCTGGCCACATGACCCAGAAGCTGTACGCCGGCTCCCTCGGCCAATAAAGCGAAATGAGCGCTGCAACCCCAGAGTCGGCCACGACTGGACCTAGTGGACAGGGGTCCCTTTACCTTTTTATCTGCAAAGACCAGTTGCTGGGGGAACAAACCATGGAGGACGTCCATTGCCGTTGCTCCCAGCTTGTAGGCTTCCCTGAAGCGTCGGGCGGGCTGGCTACCACTGGAAATAGGACGTCGGAGGGAGCGGACTCCCATGCCAGATTCGGCAGGGTTGTCCTGAGATTGCTGCCTCTTATGTCTGTGCATGCATGTGTGCGAGGATATAAAACACTTCCAGATTTGATTAGCCCTGTGATCCACCGAGCCTTGCCTTTTGTCTCCAACAAGCGCCAGCCCCATAACCTTTAATCTCCCTCTGCCCTTGGACTGCCCCGCGCTGTCCTGTCCCTTGGGCCCGTGGCCTTTCCCTCTTCACCATGATCTCTGACTAGGAAATGCCCCTTCAACAACAGCGTCGCCCTTCTTCCCCAGAGGCCTCTCCATCAGAGGCCACAAATCAGGCGTGGCAACACCTGTAAGCGTGTGGCTCCATCCCGGAAGACCTGACACAGCATCCCACACAACTTCCCCGAAGGAAAATGGGGGGAATTGATGGGGGGCAAGGCCTTGATCTCGCCCTCCTGGCGGCCCGACTGAGGGTGCTCTTGGGTGGACAATGTAGGCTCAGAGATTGGCCTAGCAATCTTTCAGAAGCGCCCCCAACCCACCCCCTTCATCCCTCAAAAATTTATGTCTGCTATATTGTCGGCTACAAAGAGGCTACTGTATGGGCTGGAGAGCTCATTAAAAAGGCAATGCGATGCGGCCAGTGGGCTCCCTCCCCCTCGTAAATCTGTTAGTCACGCTAAATGCCTGCAGCCCCTGGGTCGCTTGCGGCGTCACACCCCTTCCCTCCTCTCGAAGCGACTCTGGGCCGTGGGGCTTTGATTCATCGTAACAGAGGGAGGCCAGAGTCGGCCACTTTTGTTTGCTTATTCATGAGGCTCAGAGATCCCACCAGAGCATTTATGCGTGTGCATGTGTTTTTGGGGATGAGAGAGACAGAGAGAGAGACAGAGACAGAGAGAGAGAGGCGCCCCTTCCAGCCTTCGCTCTCCTGGCTTTGAGGGCCATGAGGGGTGATTCAGAGAGAGAGGCTCAGCCCTGAAGCTGGGATTTATTTGGTACCTACAAACAGACACATCGAACAGCGGCTGACGGGGAAAAGGGAAGCCTTCCATAACCTGTGGGATAGCTCAGTTGGTAGAGCATGAGATTCCTGATCTTGCCCCATGTTGGGCCAAAGATTGCGGCATTGGAGGAGGTTGGACGAGACGATTCTATGATTTTTAGCCAAGATAGTTTTTTGCAGCAGCTGCAAGGCTTTGTCGTCATCAAAATGCCAACCCTTATTTTCCCCTTCCAGCCCTGCCACCTGTTATTCCAGATTTACCCTTTCTGAGGGATATCCAATGAGTTTGTTTAAAAAATGTTGCCCATGACCTGCTTGCAATAGATCAATATTTGCAAAATTAAACCCTCTGTCAGGAAACACCCTGTGGGGGCACACAATAGAGATTCATAACGTTACAATACCGTTTGGGTGTGGCTTGATGCGGCCTATTGAACAAACATTTTAACAGAACACCTATAATAAACTGTATGCTGCCATGCTGTTCCTAAATATTTATACATATTTCTAATAAATAAACACGTGTTACGGTATATTCACTGGCTTCTTGGCTCTTCAGAAGCTGGCATCTCCTCTATCTAATCGTAAGGACATTGGGGACTCCCTTACATAGACTCAGGCCATTGGTGCATTTAGTTCAGTGTTGCCTACCAGTATTTCCTAAACTTGGGTCTCCAGATGTTTTGGGACTACAACTCCCATCATCCCTAGCTAGCAGGACCAGTGGTCAGGGATGATGGGAACTGTAGTCTAAGAACAGCTGGAGGCCCAAGTTTGGGAAACACTGGTCTACACCATGTTGTAGCCAACCTGGTGTGCTCGAGAGGTGTTCAACTACAATTCCCAATGGCCCCAGCCAGCATGGCCGATAGCCATGGATGATGGGAGTTGTAGTTCAACAACATCTGGAGTGCACTAGGTTGGCTACACCTGTCTACGGTGAGTGGAAGTGGCCGTCTGGGATTTCAGGCAGCAGTGTCTTGCCTGGACATGTCTGGGTTTGAACAGGTCTAGCTTCCATTTTAATTTTCCATTGTAGAAAATTAAAATGATGTGTAGGACCAATTGCCTGGCACTGTTGGGAGTTCTGATGCCAGAGGGTCCCTTGCACCCTTGGCAATGGTATTGGCACCCTCCTTAAAATAAAATAAAAAATCATTTTATCATAATAGCCACATTAGAAATTACGCCATTTTACATTCTTCCTGTTTAACACATCCTTCTGTAATCCATTTGTACTTAAGACATGCTCCCCCTGGATAAATTTATGGAACTCTCTCATTCTCTGATCAACAAGTTTTCTGCGCCACTCAGTCAATCTCAATCCAAAAGTATTGATAGACCCATCTGCACCCAGGCAGCAAAACTCTACAATTCTACGATTCAGTGAACAGATGGAGACCACGTAATTTTCCTCTTACTGCAGAAGCAGCTTTGTCAGCAGGGAGCGTGTCTAAACCAAACTTCTCAGTTGCGTTAGGTCCTAAGTGTTTGTAAAATTGCAGCGCTTAAGTATCTTTACAAGGGAGGAGGATGGGGAGAAAACCGGAAGCCCTGTGACCTCATTGGCAATGGCCCCTTGACCTCCTAGAAATCCCTCTGGCTCCAGAGGGCACCAGCCCCCACTGATTCGGGGCCTTGAAAGCTGGAAGTGGACTCTCCAGGACCCTGAGAAGGCCTGGTCTGGACTGAAAATAACAGACGTCCTCCTCTTATGTTTGGCAAATATGCTGAAAAATTCTGGATCAAAATCCAAGTGTGTATCCACTTCTGATTGCTTGTGGTCTACTATGCCTTGTCAACAGAGACATGGAATGTTTGATTACTGATTTACTTGCAATGTCCTCAAGAAAACATGCGTCCATTCGTCTGGAATGGTAACCAAGATTCCTTCAAAACTGTGCCCTGCTTCTACCAAATGTCTTTTCGGAATTTCATGACGCACCATCAGCTGTTTCAGGGTTTTATTTCTGAAGTCATCTGGGACATGATTCTACTAGGTCTTCAATTTGGAAGCGCATTCCCAACCAATAAACAGCTTCTCCAGCACATAAGGTCTAATTCATTTCCACATTAGTTTGCGCCCGACTTGTATGTGTAGCTGCATTTGGGCATATTCATCCCAAGTTGGGTGTCATGCAGCGACAAGCTTCCCTCCTTCCTGGTGTTCCAGGGCAAGAAATAGGATGGAGAGGGAGTGGCAAAGATAGGCACATCAATGGAGTCTCAGATTTCTTGGGAAGGACCCAGGGGACCTCATTGGGTCAAGAGCTACTGAGAAGAGTTGCTGTGATCATTAAGCATGACTCCCCTGAGCAGGCCTTGTTTCTGCTCATATAGAGTTAACTTCAAATACACGGTGTGATTTATTGCTGGCTGGTCCCCTAACACAAGGGAGCTTTTGTCAAGGTACTTCCAGATGAGTATTTGATGCGGAATCATTTATTTTGCAACTCCAGCACAATGTTGTTGGCATCAAAAGGCCAGCCCTCTCCCAACCCCTGCTGTTATGTACTGAAGTTCTCACCCTGGGCCAGCAGGGGGATACTATAGATAGTTTTCACTCAGGTCCACATATGCAAATAAGGAATTGAAAGTGACGTTCAGTGATTGGATAGTTACAGAAAGTTGTTACTGTTGCTTTGTAGTTGAGCTCTATATAAGCAGGCTGGCTGAACCCTTCAGCCCAGTTCTGTTCTGAGCCTGTGAATAAACAAGAGCTGTTTGAGGAATCGTTGTGTCATCTGATATGTTCACCCACAACTTAACACCCGCCACCCCCTATTTACTCTGGATTTTCCCTTTCTGAGGAAAATCTGACACCTAAATAAAAAACCTGCTCCCAACATTTGCGATATCTCAATGACCCATTTGTAATATTGAGGCCCTGTCTGGAAACACCCTAAGTAGCTCCTTTAACTGCTAGATTTTTATTTACATTTGTATTATGCCACAAAAACATTTAGGACATCCATACAATGAGTACACATTCTACAAATTATTCTTTCTAGCGAAGGACCACTAGAGGAAAAAAGCAATAAAATAAGGGATCCAATTTAGTAAATTAAAGGGGAGCTCATAAAAATTAACACAAAAATCTATATTCTGTTCGGCATGTTCAATAATACTTCTATATCACATTCAACACTTCTGGCCTCACATTTTCCAATAGATTTGCTATGTTACAATATCTAAGAAAAGGCCGCCAATTGCCAAAAGGTTCTTTTATTGTTTCTTAACCAACCCACAATGTTTTATAATATGTCAATTTGCTTATACATCAGTGCTGCCTGTCACAATTTTCTTGGGCATTTCTTAGTTTGAAGGAAGACCTCGTTGTTCCCAGCGGCTTGTAGCAACCCAAATCATTGCACTAATCACCTTGCATCAATACTATTTATTCCCATCGCTCACCTCTTTAAGTTCATCAAGCATTTGATTGTTTTTATTTCAAAAAAAACCCACTTCCAAATATGCTTAAAGTGCTTTTATTACATCTCCACCTCTAAGCTTCCTCTTGACTGGGGTGTAGAACCGATGGAATAACATCTGATAAAATGAATTTTCCAGAGCAACACAACTCTCCAGCACAAATCAAGCCCCTCCGCTGTTTACCTGAACCACATTTTAATTTCTTGTTGCATTACACTTACCCCGGTACTCAAATATCTTTTCAGTTCAAGCTCCTAATGCAATATGCAAACTGCCTTTGGGTACCAAAAGGCAAAGGACAGAGGTAATAAATATATGAGTAATCAAAAGGGGGGCGGGAATGATACCAAGGAGGACAATTCCCTGCTAATCCCTTCCTAACTTGTTCCAATGGCCACTGAGTAGGTCAAATAATTGGAGGAGGCTTGGTTACTTGTCCACAGAAAAGACACAGGAGCTATGGTGTTCATACACCAGCTGCAGGAAGGTGGATATCAGACCCCCTTCCAGCTTGCTGCACTTTGCCCATAACCCAGCCCTGACCCGGTTCTGAGAGGGGTGAGGTTAGAGGAGACACCTCCAGGGATCTAAATCAATCGGCCAACTTCCCTTCCTGGCTAAATTATAGTGCCCTTTTTGTGATGGTGATGACCAAGCACTGAAGGGCAGCTGACCTCAAATCCAGACCACCAGATTCACTGTTTCCACCACACCCTGATCAGAAAGGTGAAAGATCAGGTCTTTAATTCCTGCAGGAGCTTGGCTATGATTTAGTGCCCGAGTCCCATACTCCCATATCCAAAGAATGGCTTCATCTTGCAAGTGGGGTGGGGGGGGTAGGGTGGAATTTGGGACCTAGAAAGGTCCCAAACACACACACACACACACACACACACACACACACACCATCCATGGTCATTCACACAACCCTCTGATGACTTTTCTTCCTTCTGCGCTAAAGATCCGTCCCTTTCTTAGTGTAGCACGCGCAACTTTGCTCTACAGTGCATAGAAACCCAAGCGTGAAACACCGGCAGTGATTAGAAATGTGATCGTAAATGCACGTTGGTGAAAACAACATTCAAGAATGCATTACAGAAAGGAAAGTGGCTTTGCGAAAATGTGTACGTTAGGGGAAATTGCAGACAAAGACATGTGTTTTAGAAGTAATTCGCACTACGGTGCTGAGGAACTTTCACAGGGACTTTTTTTAAAAGAAGAAGAAGAAGCAAACTGAGTGTGAACAAGTGAACTTAAGACAGAAAAAAATAGAAACTGAAATTGACATATTTTGCCTGTCCATAATAAAAGTGCAATGACAAAGAAACGTATGCAATTTAGGGCCACGCTATATGAGATCTGTGATCAGGACTCCTGTTGTTTAATACTGATGGAGAGAGAAAGAGAGAGAGAGAGAGAGAGAAGCAGTCAACAAACCAAACAGAATCCAAGGAAGAGCGATAAAGTGTTAGAAATGTGGATAATGGCAGTGCCAGCCTTAGCATGGCATTTAGCTTGAAGAATGGAATGTGAACAAAGGAAGGAGAAAATGAAGAGGGAGCAGCCAGATTCCTGGCAGGGGAGTGGCTTCAAGAGACCCTTCCCATGATCTCTAGAATGGCCTTATACACATCATATCTTTTCCATCAGCCATACAGTCCTGGGGTGGATCTAGACACAGGAAAACCCCCACTATAAATAAGTCAGAAATTAGATCATTATAACAAAGGGGGGGGGGAATCTATATGGAAAATCGTGTTTTAAAATTTCCTGCTCTCTGGCGCCATCTGGTGTTGCATTCAAATCACTGTTTCTTCACTGATGTAGCCGAGTCCCCTGCTTGTTTTAAACTCCCAGATTCCGTCTTTTCCATTCCCCATAACAATTTCCTACTGTGTGTGCTTTGCAACAGGGGTAGCCAATGGGACACCCTCCGGGCGATATTGGACCATAACCCCCATCATCCCTGACCATTGGCGTCCTTCACTGGGGCTGATGGGAGCGGTAGTCCAACAACATCCGAAGGGCACCATGTTGGCTCTCCCTGCTGTTAGAACCCACCCACCCACTAAACATACCTCGCCACAAGGTTATTCCTGGTGGTCCTGTGAGAATTGCGTGCCAGGCATCACAGCTCAGTCAGTATGAGTATCACCCGTGGGTGCTTGACCAAGGTAAACACAGCTCCTAATCATAAACATCTGGGCAGATGTTGTTATGTACTGAAGTTCACACCCTGGGCCAGCAGAGGGATACTGTAGATCGTTCTCACTCAGGTCCACATATGCAAATAAGGGATTGAAAGTGACGTTCAGTGATTGGATAGTTACAGAAAGTGGTTACTGTTGCGTTGTAGTGGAGCTCTATATAAGCAGGCTGGCTGAACCCTTCAGTTCTGTTCTGTTCTGGCCTGTGAATAAACAAAAGCAGTTTGAAGAATTGCTGTATCGCCTGATATGCTCACCCACAACTTAACAGAGGTTACCCTTTGGAGTCTATACAATCCTCAGCAGCCCACCTAGCAAAAGCTTCAGTAATCTCTGAGCAGGAGCTGTGAACTCAGGTTATGAGGTTTCACTGACCTCATAGGGGCCCAGAGAGGCTGCAGGAACAGGGGTGTGCAAGGCACAGAGACACAGGGAGCTGGACAACATGACAAGTCCAGCAGCCACACACACCCCGTGCTAAATGTAGGAGATCAGAGCTGATCTTGACCCTAGGCTATAACTCCCATCTCCTCTACCATGTTGGCATTAACTGGACTCCCTCTCTTCTTGCTGGCATCACAGATGACCTACATTAAGATGGCAGCTAATGACCCCGAGGCCACTGTGCTAGGCTGTATCTCAGAGCTCTTGAACCCGGAAGAATGCCACGAGCTCTACATCCGGCTTGCCACCCCTCAGAAGGATGCCCAGCGGCCGTCAGAAGATGGGGACCTCTTCCCTGCCGGCCAATGGGAAGGCATATCCGACATGGACCAGTGCAAAGAAGGCCTAAAGCAGTGGCTGCAGATGCAGAGAGGCGCCATCGACTGGGACCGCCTGGCGCGAGCCCTGCGGCAGATCGGGCGCCCCGATGTCTCCAGGGAGCTGAAGAAGAGCCTCAATAAGAACAGGAGCTTGGAACCCAAGTGGGACACAGAGGGAAATCGGACGGTGGTGATGGGTGCTCAGCCGTCGGCCCTCCTCGTTGAAAACAAGGCACCCACCCGCAGGAGCCGTTACGGGCCCATCCACAAACACCGCAAAACCTTTGTGAAGGAGGGCAGCTGGGATCTCAAGGCTTTCCTCCTCCAGTTGTTCCCGGTTGCTTTGCAGAACCTGACCCTGCAGCAGTGCATCGTACCGACCGGCCGGCTGCTTGTTGTGAGCTTCCTGGCGGGGCTGGTCCTCTGGCTGATTTCCATGTATTATGTCATTTGCTGGAATCTGGGGCAATGCCTCTTTGCCAGCGGCCTTCGCTACGGTGCGACCCCGGCTCGGCAGAACATGAACTTGACGGTGATTTGGAACAACCAAGCCGTTGAAGACTCTATAGATGACGAGGAGGACCCGGACAGTTCCTTAGAAGAGGATGCTACAGAGGATGAACAGTGACCCCAGCAGCTCCCGGTGAATTCTGCAGGGAAGTTGATCTCATTTAATAAATTCACTTGCGGATCTTTTGTTTTGAGCCCGTTACCTACCTCAGGCTTGACTCAGTTGAACACCTCGCCGACTCAGGGCGCACGGTACAATCTCCTGTTGTGCAGTGACAGTAGGTGAAGGAATGTCGCAGGGCAAAAAGTGGGAGGAGATATGCCCTTGGCCCATTGAGAATGATCTAATGGAATGAAGGTTATTAAAATGTTTAATTATGCTGCTATGTTTTCTTTTCAGTCTGTGGAATAGCGAAACGTGCTCATTTAAGATGGTAGATGGCAAACTTCTGAGAGGTTTAGGGCTAGATAGAATGGTACTGAAGCCCAGCTCCTGCCAACCTAGCAGTTTGAAAGCACACCAGTGCAAGTAGACAAATAGGTACCACTGCAGCGGGAAGGTAAACAGTGTTTCTGTGCACTCTGGTTTCCGTCATGGTGTCCCGTTGTGCCAGAAGCGTTTTAGTCATGCAGGCCACATGACCCGGAAAGCTGTCTGTGGACAAACGCCAGCTCCCTTGGCCTGAAAGCGAGATGAGCGCCACAACCCCATAGTCGCCTTTGACTGGACTTTACCGTCCAGGGGTTCTTTACCTTTACCTTGCCCTATTCTCATTGATCCTGTGATGGCAGCCTAACACAGTAAAGCGCATCCAAACATTAAGCACACGTGGCAGAGATAAGAGAGATGTGATATTGGATGAAGGCTGTCAGCTGGTACAGAGAGAGGGAGGGGGGAGAGAGACTTCTAAGAAGGGGCAGACCGTCAGAGTAATCAGAATTTGGAAGTTCGGCAATAGTGCCTTTAAAGGTCCACTACGATTTTTAACTCACCCCAGCACCAGTTCCTGTCGCTGCTCAGATGTAATGAGAGGCCTGAGTAGCAGTAGCTAGAGCCAGGGCTAGGCTCGCTTAGACTCCAAGGTTAGCTAAACCCTTCACTACCAGGGTGGACTGGCAGATTAAACTATTGGATTATGCAGAGATGGCAAGAATGACCGGGAAAATCAGAAACCAGGAACATCAAAACTTCAGAAAAGAAAGGGAGAAATTTATATTGTATTTGACGGACCGCTGTAAACACTTGAACTCTTTGGCAGGTTTTCAAAAACTATTGTAATGTTACATAGATTTTGGAGACAATGGAGGATTGAAATTTAGAAGGACGTATAGTATGCAGCTGAAAAAGTTAGTTAAAGAACCCACGGAGGGAAGTCTTGAGATTTGGAAGAATCTTGTGTAATTTTTTTATTATTTGTGATTCGGGGTGTGAATGAATTTGTAAAATCAATAAAAATCATTTGATAATATAATAATAACTAACCCTTCACATTGGTAGAAGAACATACCCTCCAACATTTCTCCAATGAAAACAGGGACGCCCTATTCTATAATAGGGATGCGGGTGGCGCTGTGGGTTAAACCACAGACTCTAGGGCTTGCTGATCAGAAGGTCGGCAGTTCGAATCCCTGCAATGGGGTGAGCTCCCGTTGCTCGGTCCCTGCTCCTGCCAACCTAGCAGTTTGAAAGCACGTCAAAGTGCAAGTAGATAAATAGGTACCGCTCCGGCGGGAAGGTAAGCGGCATTTCCATGTACTGCTATGGTTCAGAAGCGGCTTAGTCATGCTGGCCACATGACCCGGAAGCTGTACGCCGGCTCCCTCGGCCAGTAAAGCGAGATGAGCGCCACAACCCCAGTCATCCGCGACTGGACCTAATGGTCAGGGGTCCCTTTACCTTTTTATTCTATAATAATAATGATTTAATTATTCATACCCTGCCCATCTGACTGGTCTACTCCAGCCACTCAGGGCAGCTTCCAACATTAATAATAATAATAATAATAATAAAAACATTAAACATTTTTTTAAAAAAACTTCCCTGTACAGGACGGCCTTCAGATGTTTCCTTGGCTCGGGGGAGTCGCATAACTGCCTCTTATATTTAGGATTTTGCATTGAGTTGCTGGCTGGAAAATGGAAGGAAAAAGGTAGCAGCAGCAACCAATCACAGTGTTTCTGTTGTCACTCCTTCAGCCATGCTTCTCCTGCTAGTGGACTTCATGTGTGTCCTAAATGCTCCACGGCATAGGGCTGCCTTCTGATTTGCAGTCAACCAGCTCCACCTTGTGGTGCTTTTGGACTTTTGCTGCAGCTGATGCCAGAAGTGAGGGAATGTTAGGCTGTGACAGACAAAACCATCCCACTGAACAGGCAGGAGCTGCCAAGACGTAGTTTTGAGTTCATCTGCCCAGATGCAAGATCCACTTAGTATTTGCCGGGCACAGACAGTGGTTCACATTAAGCATTGACCTGCTTGAGAGCTGCACTGACAATTCAAATTCTGGGTACTGCTAGTGAAATGATGTTTATATATTGATGTTTCTCATTGCTCTGCCCTGCTCTAAAATGTGGAATTTTAACTGTACTGCTTCCACTTATTTGTGATATTTTGTTCCGTGCTGCTTTAAAATTCAGAATGGTTTTTTATTTTTTTGTACTTATTTGTGGAAATTTGTGGTAAACCACTGAGAGACTTTTTTGAAGGATTGAAGCCGTATATAAATCCCCCAAATACATATTAACTAAACAGATGTATTAAACACATCTGAAGAGGGGTTGTGGATTCAAGGGTCAGTCCCTGGCGTCTCTAGGTACGGCTGAGAATCCCTTCTGTCTGAAACCCTGCCAGTCGTTCTAATTGTTTTATTCTTTCTTGCAAAACCCTACAAGAATATGACCGACGGTGGTATGAAAAAGAATCAAACAATCAACCCAATAGAATGGAGAGGGAGATCTAACCCACAGCTAGTCTTGCCACTAATCCCTTTTTTGCGTGTTCAGACCCAGAAATCTCCCCCCTAAATAAATTCACACTTGTCTCAAATTTTGGTTTTGGTTTCTGGCAGAATTTAGGACACATCTTTATTGATTACAGCAAGTGACTGGTTGCATAGGCTCTGGTTGGACTAGCTCCCTGCCATGCAGGTAGCGCTGACCCAGGGTTCCAGCATAGGTCAGCCAAGGGTGAATACCTGGATAAGCAGAAAGCCAGGAACAGGCTATCTCTGCCACCCAAATGTCCCCCTGGACTCAGGCACGGGCACAACCCCCTCTCACGGGTTGACCAAACCATTGAGTCCCTGGATTCCTTTAACGGAATACCCTTCACATACGGATGGCAAGAGCATTCTCCCATCCCTATCACCTGAACCGGAGCCTATCCGCAACCTTACAAGTTGTGACGATTTCCTACGCGGCAGGCGAAACCCAAATGGCAACAGCCAACCAGCCAAGTAGGGGAAATTCCTGCCGTGCCCCTGTGCCAATGACAGACGACACACAACAGCATAGCAAGGTCAAGTGCAAAGCCCTAAAAGTAGGGAGAGGTGGGCGGGTGTTCCGAATGCATGCGCCGAAACAGGAAGCTCTGGGTCATGTGCATGGGCATAAATAGGTCCCTCAAACCGTTTATGGTATGTACTGAAGTTCTCACCCTGGGCCAGAAGGGAAAATGTAGATAGTTTTCACCCAGGTCCACATATGCAAATAAGGAATTGAAAGTGACGTTCAGTGATTGGATAGTTACAGAAAGTTGTTACTGTTGCGTTGTAGTGGAGCTCTATATAAGCAGGTTGGTTGAACCCTTCAGTTCAGTTCTGTTCTGGGTCTGTGAATAAACAAGAGCTGTTTGAAGAATCGCTGTGTCGTCTGATATGTTCACCCACAACTTAACAGTTTAGACTGCATCCCACTGGCCGGATTGCTCCCAGCTATGAGGGACCTACCAATCGGGTGTTGCGGCTGACCAATTGTACCCACCCACAACACAGGGTGTCGGTTTTCCAGGTCTCACCACAATACGTGCCTTCTTTAAGGGAGGACCCGATTTGCCAGTTTCTTGATGGTCTTTATGCAGGTCTGACCAGTTTTGTGTTAGGCTCCTTGATCTCTAGTAACTCTGATGTGTATTTGGACATCAGTATGCAGGCTAACGGGACATGGGTGGCGCTGTGGGTTAAACCACAGAGCCTAGGACTTGCCGATCAGAAGGTCGGTGGTTTGAATGTCAAAGTGCAAGTAGATAAATAGGTACTGCTCCGGCGGGAAGGTAAACAGCGTTTCAGTGCGCTGCTCTGGTTCGCCAGAAGCGGCTTAGTCATGCTGGCCACATGACCCGGAAGCTGTACGCCGGCTCCCTCAGCCAATAAAGCGAGATGAGCACCGCAACCCCAGAGTCGGCCACGACTGGACCTAATGGTCAGGGGTCTCTTTACCTTTATGCAGGCTAACCTCAGCGTGTGATGCCACCAGTAATTGCAGACCCTCCAAGTGTCCATATTTTCCAATGACAGTCCTGGACTTACAAAAGCTGTCCTGATCCCGAAATGTCACAGTTTTTCTTAGAACGCCCTATTTTCATTGAAGAAATGCTGGAGGGGAATGGAGTTTTGTGACGCCTCTGAGCCAAGGAGATAAGTAACTATGCAACCTTTAGAAAACATCTGAAGGTAGCCCTGTATAGGGAAGGTTTTTAAAAAAAAATATTTAATGTTTTATTATGTTGTTATATATGTTGGAAGCCTCCCAGAGTGGCTGGGGCAACCCAATCAGATAGGCCAGGTATAAATAATATTTTTTCCAATTATTTTTATGGAATAGGACATCCCTATTTTCATCAAATAAATGTTGGAGGGTATGTAATTATCCTAACATCCCCTGGTTCCTCTCCTCTGAGGGAGGGTGTTGTTGTTGTTGAAGGAGGGACCAGAAGGGGGCGCCGTTGGAGAAGCAGAAAGCAGATCAGAACAGACGGGGGAAATGAGCTAAATGAAAAATGCACACGAAAGCTTATACTCAGAACAAACTTTGTTGGTCTCTGAGGTGCTACTGGACAATTTCTAAAATTTATTTATTTATTTCAATTGCGTCGGACCAATACAGCTACCTACCAGAATCTGAAACTGAGCTGTTTAAGACGTGTTTTTCAGATTTAGGGTAATGCGTGGCTGCCATAGTCTAATAACTGTACAGTGGTACCTTGGTTTGCATACGTTTTGGATTACAAACACGTCAAACCCAGAAGTGCATGTCCCGGTTTGCAACCTTTTTTTGGATTACAACCCATTTTTTATTTTTATTTCTGGATTATGAACAATTTTTGCGGGGGAAGCCCCATTGGCGAAAGCACGCCTTGGGCTACAACCTGTTTTGGTTTACAAACGGACCTTCAGAATGGATTGTGGTTATAAACCAAGCTACCACTGTATTTAAATAACACAATGCAAATGTTCTCCCAAGATGTTAACCGACATCCTGTATACCAAGAGCAAACTTATTTTCAGCAGCCTGGGGAGGGGGGACTCTTGCGATTTGCAAAATTATACACACACACAACCTTTCGAAAATAAACCCCAAGGGGAAATGACCCTAAAACAGCTCAATGTGGATTGGGCGTATTCCCTAAGGAATGCTCAGCAGGAACACTCCACGCTGCAACACTTTATTGCAGCTCTCAATGCTAAATATACATGGTGCAGAGATGTTGCAGGAAGCACACTTGCAAGCGCAGGAAGAGAAAAAGAGCAAACAGTACGCCTAACCTCCAGCCTGCTAAGGTTTCAGAAGTGACATAACCCGCTCAGAACTTGCTGAGCTCATAGGGAGGGGATTATAATGCAAGGCTCCCTAAGATAACCTCCGTGAGCCCTTAAGCCGCTCCAGGTCCTTTCCTTGCATTAAGGCAGGAGGAGAAGGTTAGCTAATTGTCTATCTCAGAAGCACGTGGACTGCATGTCAGAGTCACAAGGGCGGATATCACCTCCGCATTTTGCTTTCATCCACAGCTCCCAGAAAGGGATTGGCTTGATGAGCAAGGGATAGACATTGACTTTATTTTTTTTATTTTTATACTTTTCAAGTTTATACATCTCACTGATTTTACAATCGTTTTGGCATTTCAGCACTTGACTTCCTACCCGGTCTTTCTGCGCTTCCTTAAACTTGTTTCCAATATCTTCTCCATCTCCAAATTAACTTCATTTGCTCATTTATTCATCTTTAAATATATACTCTTACAAAACTGCAGGTTGCCACAATAATCCTGCCAATGTTTTTATCTGTTTGCAATTCATCTGTAAATGTTCAGCAAACCATTTCCATTCTTTTATAAAAGATTTGTTATCTCGATTCCTTATTCTTCCGGTAAGTTTCACCATTTCTGCATATTCCATGAGTTTTTGTATCCATTCTTCCTTTGCTGGGACATCTGCTTCTTTCCATTTTGGGGCGAGGAACATTCTTGCTGCTGTGGTAGCTTACATGAATAAGTTTCTATACATTTTAGTAGTTCTGTCCCTATAATTCCCAAAAGAAAAGCTTCTGGTTTTGTTTTGTTTTGTTTTGTTTTGGTTTGGTTTGGTTTGGTTTGGTTTGGTTTGGTTTGGTTTGGTTTGTTTTGTTTTGTTTTTACAAAGGTTATTTTAAGCATCCTTTTCATTTCATTATATATCATTTCCCAGTAAGCTTTAACCTTACTACAAGACCACCACATATGATAAAAAGAAGATGGGATGGCAATTGACACTGCAGGTTGCTCTTTACCTGGATGTTATGCAAAGTTTGTTAAAAGATCTTGCTTGCTCTCCCACCAAGAAATATGTGGCTTGGTGGTTGTGATGGGGAGCATCAAGCCAAACAAGAGCCAAAACCCTTTTAAAATTGTTGGAGGCAGACTAGCAGGCAGGGCCCATTACTTACATCAGTAATTACTTATTACTTGCCATTGCCTTCCGTTAAGAGTTTGATGCCTCCCTTTCCATGGAGGTGCAGGTTACAGCAACAGCCAAGGCGACATTTTTCCACCTTCGCCGCATCAAACAGTTGGTCCCTTACCTTTCCCGCCCCGACCTGGCCACAGTGATCGATGCGACGGTCACCTCCAGGCTTGACTACTGTAATTCGCTCTATGCGGGGCTGCCCTTGAAGCTGTCCCAGAAACTCCAGCGGGTGCAGAATTCTGCAGCGAGGCTCCTCACAGGTCCCTGCCATGGAAGCATATTCACCCAGTGCTTTTCCAGCTGCACTGGCTCCTGGTGGAGTACAGGGTCAGATTTAAGGTGCTGGTTTTGACCTTTAAAGCCCTTCACGGCCTAGGACCCTCGTACCTACGGGACCGCCTCTCCCGGTATGCCCCACGGAGGACCTTAAGGTCCATAAATAGCAACACCCTAGAGGTCCCGGGCCCTAAGGATGTTAGATTAGCCTCAACCAGAGCCAGGGCCTTTTCAACACTGGCTCCGGCCTGGTGGAACACTCTGCCTCATGAGACCAGGGCCCTGCAGGATCTGGTTTCTTTCTGCAGGCCTGTAAGACAGAGTTGTTCCGCCTGGCCTTTGACTTAGAATCAGTTTGATTCCCTCCCCCTCTTTCTTTTTCCTTTCTCCTCCTGTGATGAGGCTGCATTTTAATATTTTAATGTTTCAATATTTTAATGTTGTGTTTTAATCTTGTTTTTAAGTTGTATTCATTCAACTTGTTTTTCTTATTGCTTGTTAGCCGCCCTGAGCCCGGCCTTGGCTAGGGAGGGCGGGGTATAAATAAAAAATATTATTATTATTATTACATCATAGAAGCCTACACAACACAAAACACTGTTTCTGTATGTAGGTTTTATTTTATTTGTTTTTTATCTTATATTTTGGAAATGTACATCCAGGGGTTTTTTCCTTTAAATATTTTGGGGGGCCCGAAGAAAGTGGGGCCCCAAGCTATAGCTTGTTTAGCTGATACGTAAATCCGACACTAAATACGGAGGCCTGGAGTCAGGATTTCCAGAAACCTGCTGCTTTTATCTACCTCTAGGTCAGTTCCGACAACTGACTTACCAACCAGCAGCCTATTATGCGCTGCTGATGCGCCCTTATCAACTGGCAAGTTCTGCAGCTCAGCTGAGCGTTGCTTTCCCGGCTGCCAGAATACACACCACATGTGCAAAGTCAACGTCAACTGTAGGAGATCAGAAAGCATGAAGTGCTCTCCATCTCTTGGATCCAAGGGCTTCCTTCTTCCAAGCTGCTTCATTCCCACTTGTCAGGTCCAGGAACCTCATGTATAAATAAGCAAATGAGAGTCGGGAGGCTAAATTTAACCCTTGACTTAAATACTTTCCAAATCCTGCTCAGAGCCGTTTTAAGCAACATTGCAAATTAAGATGTCTTCCCTAGCTAAGCTTACGGCAACGTGCAAGCTGTCACAGCTCCGGAGTCTAAATCCCCATCTTGGGCCCAAGGCCGAAGCTCCTTTCATCCCTGGGGGCGGTAGGAGGCTGTGTCCGAAAACTTCCACATGTCTTCACATCTCGGGGTGATGCTCCACCCAGTGAATGCGGCAGTGAAAACCAAAGGGAGGAACAAGGGCTGAAGATTGGAGTACTTCAGGGTAAGTCTTGGCAAGGAGATAGGGAGCGGCGGTGCAAAGACCGCCTTCTGAAGGACCAGGTCTCAAAGCAGAAACTGGATCAGTGTATATTCCCCAGAGATCGCTGTTAATGAACCAAACTGAGCTTTCTGGCAAACTCTGAGAACAGATTCCAGTTTTCTCTAAAGACCACAAGCAATGGAGAATCCACATCGACCTCAGGTATGGTTTTCCAATGGTTCATTCCTTTTGCTGCCATTATTATTATTATTATTATTATTATTACTATTATTACGCATACTCCTAAACATTTTGTGAATCTTTGTACTTTTGTCCATTTAGTGTACAGTGGTACCTCGAGTTAAGAACTTAATTTGTTCCAGAGGTCTGTTCTTAACCTGAAACTGTTCTTAACCTGAGATACCACTTTAGCAAATGGGGCCTCCCGCTGCTGCCGCGCGATTTCTGTTCTCATCCTGAAGCAAAGTTCTTAACCCAAAGTACTATTTCTGGGTTAGCGGAGTCTGTAACCTGAAGCGTCTGTAACCCGAGGTACCACTGTATTTGTTTTTCCCAATTTGAACTATAAAATGGTGGCTTTCTTGAGTCAAAATGAGAGTACCCCTAAAAAAATATTTTTAGAAAAAATAAAGCACTGGATTTAGCTACAGTAAAACTATGCAAGGAAGAGCCGACAATCAGGAAACAGGGTTTTAAACCCTAAATGCATTTTGAGACTAATGAAAGGGTTTCATTGACTGACATTTGCAGAGATTGCTTGGTCGGTTCAATAAGGTTCATGCTATTAGTAGGCAGTTCTTTCTCCCGGGAGTGTTAAGTAAGCCTTTCAACTTTGCATTCTCGACCCAGAGCTCAGAGGCGTTTTCAGGGCCCCTACCACATCCCGTGCAAATTGTTGAATCGTTTGCAGCCTACCAATGTTAAAGTACTGACAATCTGCCAGAACATCAGGAAACAAATTCATGCCTTGAAAAGTGTGAAGGAATGGATGTCTTGACCTGAGCATTTAAAGTCAAATCCTTGATCCACTTAGCGTAGAACATAATACAGTACAGTACTACGCTCTCCAAGGTCTCACATGTAATTCTTCCATGAAAAACTATGGGGAAGTGCTGAGTTGAGTTTCGCCAACATCATTTATTTCTCACAGTTATCGACTGGAGGAAAATCAAGGAATTCATCCTGATTTTCATGTTAATTCTCTTCACCTTCCATTAACAATTTATATTGGGTGATATTCAACTAAGTTTTACTGAGAGGAAACCTGTTGAAATTAATGAACATGACTAGAATTGTAGACTCATAGTTGGAAGAGGCCCTGCAGGAATGTGCAGTTGTCCCATACGGGGATTGAGCCTGCAACCTTGGCATGTTCAACACCACACTTTAACCAACTGAGCTATCCAGACTAAGCTAGTTCCATTAATTTCAACAGTTCTACTCTGAGTAATGATTAGTTGGCATCTGTCTGTCCCGGAAGACAATCGAAGGGTGTGGCTTCGGGGGGTAAAGTCAAACCATTGGAGCCCTTGTCCCCTAAACAATTATTTAAACATTCCCATTCTTCTTTCACCATTTTTTTTAGGTTTATCTCTTATTGCATCTGTCAGCTTTGCGAGCTCCAAGTACTCGCACAATTTGACTACCCATTCCTCTTTAGTTGGTGTATTTTTATCTTTCCAGTGTTTTGCCCTTGCTGCTGACCCTTGAATGCTCCCTGGTACCAAGATGAGGGATTCCTTTGGAATGCAGATAGAGAGAATTGATAAGAATAATGATCTGTTGTGAGCTTGACGGAAGTGTACAATAGATGAGCTTTCCTGCTTTGGCTCCTCTTCCTTTTTCTTTTTTTTTCTTTTTCTCTTTTTTCTTTTCTTTTATCTTTCCCATAGTTGCTTATGTTCTGTGTCCTGTACTTCGATATTTTTTTTAGTTTTTTTAGTTTTTTTCATTACTATTAAGGAATTTTCCTTTGTAATTTTGGTTGTCTATATTTATATGTACTTGTTTAAAGCAAAAGAGAGAGAGAGAGAGAAAGAAGTCAAACCATTGGAGAGTTCCGGTGCCCGTTGTGGCTCTAAAAACTGATCCTGTGTCTGGTGGTGGTTGGAGGATGGATGGCGGCTAACAGATTGAGGTTGAATCCTGACAAGACAGAAGTACTGTTCTTGGGAGACAGCGGGCAGGCAGGTGTAGTCCTGAATGAGGTAACCAGGGCCGTCTTTATCCAGGGGTGGAAAAGGTGTGGGGCACCCGGGCACTGAATTCTGGGGGGGCGCCTGGAGCCCGCCGCTGAAGCCGCCTAAACTCTTAACTATCTACCCGTTATGAAATAATAAATAATTTTGATCAAGCTAGAAAAACAAAATACATATATACCTAGGTATTGCTGAAATATATACCTACTGTTTCACTAAAGGACTTTCGACTTGCGCTCATTTACCAAAGACACGCCGTGCTTGTCATTCACAATGGCGGCCCTTGTCAGACTCAGCGATGGCGCTTGTCATTCACAACAAGAGATAAGGCGTAAGCGTGGTGTCTGACATAAGCATTAATTATGTTAATTTGGGGGCTAACCTAAATTTGGGGGTGCTGGGTGGATCTTTGCACCCTGGCGGCACATATGCTAAAGACAGGGCTGGGGGTAACTGTGTGCCTGAAGGACCAGGTGTGCAGCCTGGGAGTCATTCTGGACTTATAGCTGTCCATGGAGGCACAGATCACTTCTGTGTCCAGGGCAGCTGTCTACCAGCTCCATCTGGTACGCAGGCTGAGACCCTACCTGCCCAAAATTTGTCTCGCCAGAGTGGTGCATGCTCTGGTTATTTCCCGCTTGGACTACTGCAATGCGCTCTACATGGGGCCACCTTTAAAGGTGACCCGGAAACTACAACTAATCCAGAATGCGGCAGCTAGACTAGTGACTGGAAGTGGCCGCTGAGACCATATAACACCAGTCCTGAAAAGCCTATATTGGCTCCCAGTACGTTTCCGACCACAATTCAAAGTGTTGGTGCTGACCTTTAAAGCCCTAAACGGCCTCGGCCCAGTATATATGAAGGAGCATATCTACCCCCCCATTGCTCAGCCTATACACTGAGGTCCAGTACCAAGGGCCTTCTGGCAGTTCCCTCACTGCAAGGTTACAGGGAACCAGACAGAGGGCCTTCTCGGTAGTGGCACCCACCCAGTGGAAAGCCCTCCTGTTAGATGTCAAGGAAATAAACAGCTATCTGACTTTTAGAAGACATCTCAAGGCAGTCCTGTATCGGGAAATTATTAATGTTTTGCCATTTTTTATGTGCTGTAAGCCGCACAGAGTCGCTGGGGAAACCCAGCCAGATGCGAAGAGTATAAATAATAAAATTGTCATCGTCCTCATGATCATTATACAGGAGAGACATGTTTTGTTGCAGCTGGGGCAGACGAAGGTGTCTGTTTGTGCTGTTGCAGATGCACCATGGCGATTCTTCCCTCTGTGCTCTTCACAGCAATCATCCCTCCTCTGATTACTGCTATGGATACATGATCTGATTATTACCAGTGTAAAACGTAGTTGAATTCCAACCATAGTTGGCAATTACTAGTTAATTTTGTCAGGAGAGAAGCTTTATTTTTCTTCTAGAGCAGGCATATTCAGTGCTGAAGGATCACATCAGAAGTACATTTTGACAACGTCCGACAACATACCGTATTTTTCCGTGCATAAGACTAGGTTTTTTCCTGAAAAATAATATCAAAAATTAGGGGGCGTCTTATACACTGCTACATCTCCTCCCGTTTTCTTAAACCTGAGTCCCCAAGAATAGGACTCTTATACATGGGGGCGGAAAAATACAGTATGTTATGGAAGCTCCATGATTTTAACTCTCAGTGCCTGATTCTATTAGGGAAAGTATCCATAGGGAGATTTGGATAGGATCCATGGTGTGTGGGAAAGTGTCTAACAGTTTGCCCCAGCACCATGCTACTAATTCAGATCACTGCAAAGCTGCTATTAACCACACAAAAATAAATTTAGCAGATTTAACCATTTCCCCCAATTTTCATATAAATGTATTGATATTGTAGATGCCAAACATATTATAGATGCTGGGTGCATCTTTGATTCCAATAATTCTTTGCCCTCAGTGCGAAAACTTTGGTATAGTCTCTGAAAAATCTTGACACTCTGTTGGAAAGAATGAGTCTTGAGAACATAACAAATAGGAAACGTAAGAAAAGAAAGCTGGAATTCTCAAGAATGGAAAAGGAGCTCACAGACCAGACAGAAAGGTTTTGCAAGAATCGTATTGTAATGCTTTGCTATGCTATATAATCATAGAATTGTAGAGTTGGAAGGTAACCTGAGGGTCATCTAGTCCAACCCCCTGCAATGCAGGAATCTCAGCTAGATCATACATGACAGGTAACCATGCAATCTCTGCTTAAAAGCCCCTAAGGAAGCTATAGAATCACGCAAAAGAAGATTGTGGTTGCTGCTAATTCTACAGAAATATCTGATCACAGGCATTGGTCGGGGGGGCGGAATTTGGAAAGGCTTAATGTGACTTGTTTTCCAGGGGAATGGAGGAGAGAATTTACATTTTTTAAAAACAAACCATATTTTCTTGATTTGCAAATAATTAAAATGACAACAATGTTAAACAGGTGAGGCTCAATGAGCCAAAAAAGAGTGCATATACAGTGGTACCTCGGGTTACAGATGCTTCAGGTTACAGACTCCGCTAACCCAGAAATAGTACCTCGGGTTAAGAACTTTGCTTCAGGATGAGAACAGAAATCGTGTGGCGGCGGTGCAGCGGCAGCAGGAGGCCCCATTAACTAAAGTGGTGCTTCAGGTTAAGAACAGTTTCAGGTTAAGAACGGATCTCCAGAACGAATTAAGTTCTTAACCTGAAGTACCACTGTAATCATATATAGATTCCACACCCCACACCCCACCCCGCCTGTCTCCCTGTTTGGTTCTATATACTTCACCAGGCCCTTTGGTAGATTCACCCAAAGCAAAAGACATTTTGCGTCGGAGGATTTTGTGGCAGTGCTGAGATTAGGTGGGGCTGGACCCTGTTCAGAAGTCAAACAAGACGCAGCAGGAGCCATATGAGCAGCGAAATTCTACGGGAAGGCAGTATTTGTTTTGATTTAAAAGAAGCCACACATTCAAGTCAAGATCCTGATGTGATACAGCCATATGCTCTTTGACTGCTTTGAGCCATTAGTGCAAGGCTTTGGATCAGACCACATCTACAACAGCAAAAAAAGGCCCTGGGCTAGCTGCAGCACTGGCGGGCAACTGACCTGTGCAATTCATAAAGCACGTTTCCGAGCACAGTTCAAAGTGTTGGTGCTGACCTTTAAAGCCCTAAATGCCCTCGGCCCAGTATACCTGAAGGAGCGTCTCCATCCCCATCGTTCAGCCCAGACACTGAGGTCCAGCGCTGAAGACCTTCTGGCGGTTCCCTCGCTGCGAGAAGTGAAGCTACAGGAAACCAGGCAGAGGGCCTTCTCGGTGGTGGCACCCACCATGTGGAACGCCCTCCTATCAGATGTCAAGGAAATAAACAACTACAGTGGCACCTTGGTTTAAGAACAGCTTAGTTTATGGACAACTTGGATTAAGAACGCTGCAAACCCGGAAGTAGGTGTTTTGGTTTGTGAACTTTGCCTTGGAAGCAGAACATGTTCCGCTTCCTGTTGAGTGTGTTCCAATTGGAAATTGAGTCCCCCGCTGCTATGGGAAAGCATGCCTTGGTTTAAGAACGCTTTGGTTTAAGAATGGACTTCCGGAACGGGTTAAGTTCGTAAACCAAGGTACCACTGTATCTGACTTTTCAAAGACATCTGAAGGCAGCCCTGTTAAGGGAAGTTTTTCATGTCTGATGTTTTACCGTGTTTTTAATATTCTGTTGGGAGCCGCCCAAAGTGGCTGGGGAAACCCAGCCAGATGGGCAGAATATAAATATAAATATTATTATTATTATTATTATTAAGTGCAGTAGGCCAGCTCCATCCTGATATGCAATGACCTGCGGGATCCAAGCAACAAACTGGAACAATGGTTCATGCAGTCATACCAGCAGCTGCTTAGGGGTCTTTTGGAGGCACGTCAGTGCTGGGTCATTTCTTTTTACGGGGACCCACCAAGTGTGAACTGGACCCGGGCCGTGGCAAGAACTCTTTCCTGACACTTTGGACGTTTATTTGTCTGGGACTTTTGGGGGTTGGGAGGAGGAAAGAGCTTGCCTTGCAATTGTGACAGCTGTGTGGGTTGGGTCTACTTCTTGATTGTGACATTGAAATTCTACTCCGTATTGATCCAGAGTACAGTGGACACTTGGGTTGCGAACGTTTTCCAGGGGAATGGAGGAGAGAATTTACATTTTTTTTTTCAAAACAAACCATATTTTATCGATTTGCAAATAATTAAAATGACAACAGTGTTAAACAGGTAAGGCTCAATGAGCCAAAAAGGAGTACATATAATCATATATGAACGTTCCGGTTCTTCCGGGTTTTGGCAGTCCGTAACCCCAAAAAACGCAACCTGAAGCGTCTGTAACCCAAGGTATGACTGTAGATTCCGATGTATAGTTAGCAGAGTAACAACTTAAACACTTTGCAGGATTCCCCCAAAAAAGACACAAGAGGCAATTGTGTTTCATGCAGCAGAGCTTTACAGTGGTACCTCTGGTTACAAACACTTTGGGTTATAGAGTCCGCTAACCCGGTAGTAGTACCTCAGGTTAAGAACTTTACCTCAGGTTAAGAACTTTACCTCAGGATGAGAACAGAAATGGCGCTGCTGCTGCGGGAGTCCCCATTAGCTAAAGTGGTACCTCAGGTTAAGAACGGTTTCAGGTTAAGAGCAGACCTCCAGAACGAATTAAGTTCATAACCAGAGGTACCACTGTACTGCTACTGAAGGCAAATAAGCATAATGGTCACAATACACTCAGGATTGGCACTGTCCATAAGAAATCCAGTTGCAGCAGACTTAACTTAAACTTACAGCAACTTAACACTACATACGGAACACCACACCAGAAAAGAAGAGTGAAACCCAGGGTCCTTCTGGCCTCACTATTACAGTGGTACCTCAGGTTAAGTACTTAATTCATTACGGAGGTCCGTTCTTAACCTGAAACTGTTCTCAACCTGAAGCACCACTTTAGCTAATGGGGCCTCCCGCTGCTGCCGGGCCGCCGGAGCCCGATTTCTGTTCTTATCCTGAAGCAAAGTTCTTAACCTGAAGCACTATTTCTGGGTTAGCGGAGTGTGTAACCTGAAGTGTATGTAACCTGAAGCGTATGTAACCCGAGGTACCACTGTATAATCAGCATGACCTTGAAAGAAAGACGTAACAGAACCAGTTTAAACCAGCTGTACTCAGCTTCTCTGAAGAAATACCGTATTTTTTGCTCTATAAGACTCACTTTTTCTCTCCTAAAAAGTAAGGGGAAATGTGTGTGCATCTTATGGAGCGAATGCAGGCTGCGCAGCTATCCCAGAAGCCAGAACAGCAAGAGGGATTGCTGCTTTCACTGCACAGCGATCCCTCTTGCTGTTCTGGCTTCTGGGATTCAGAATATTTTTTTCCTTGTTTTCCTCCTCCAAAAACTAGGTGCGTCTTGTGGTCTGGTGCGTCTTATAGAGCGAAAAATACGGTAACCCAAACATCAGGAATCTTCTTTCACACAGAGAAGCTTCCAGAACCCTCTTGAATTAAGTAGAACAGGAGAGATCTCTACACATCAGATCAATACTTTCTCCACTAAGAAATGCAAACTGACAGATTGATGGTGCTGGAGGACCCAGGTTTCAGCAGGTGCTTTCAGCGCCCGTTTGAAAACACTGGGAAAGCCGTCAGTGGCAGCAAAACAGCCTATGCTTCGCTGAACACTTGGGGAAGATGAAAATGCCTTACCCATCGTTCATGGAGATTTGTGTGCCGCTCTAATGTTTGCCCAAAGGCATGGTTCCTGCAGCAATGTTCTTGCCTTCTTGGTGCAGTCTCAGACCTGACTGAAACACCACAGCAATGGCTATCGCTAGCACTAGGCCTGTCATAGAAAGCCATGACAGACCCCCCAAGTGTCCCTATTTTCCAGAGATTTACAGAAGCAACCCCAGTTTCTGATTTGATCCTGGAATGTCCCACTTTTTCTTGGGACGTCCCTGAAACTGAATTTCCAGTGCATTTTCCTGCCACTTTCCAAGCCACAAACACCTATTTTCATTTTCATTTTTTAAAGTGGATCCAAAAAGTTTTCACTGGATTTTGAATAAATGTGCAATTAATTGTTACCATTTTGAACTTTATCATGTTGTTATCTTCCTTCCTTAGTGGCTGTGGTCGCCCAGAGTGGCTGGGTCAACTCAGTCAGATGGGTGGCATATAAATGATAAAATTGTTGTTGTTATTGTTGCTGTTGTTGCTGTTGTTGCTGTTGGAGCCCCTTAACCCACTTTAATTGTGCAAAAACCTAAAGATCTGGTATGTGTTGGAATCCCTCTCACCAAATACTGAGAGTTTAGAGGCATCCTTGAGAAAACTTGCCACCATTCATGATCATCTCACTGATTATCCCCCAATTATGATCTCCTGTGGAACCTTGGTGTTTCCAGGAACAGAGTTTGAAAACGACTATTTCAGTAGCTTCTGAACAGATGGCTTGTGCTCAGTACAATTAAGGGATTATCAAATGATCCCTCAAACCCATGAAATGTTCAGGGAGTTGTATTTGTTCATTGAGAGCAGCTAATCTTTGTCTCTGCATCATCTTTGCTTCACAGATCCCCAGCGTGTAACTGAGGAGGGCAGTCAGGCACAAGAGAAAAGGTCATCGAGACTGAAACAAGCATGGGCAACCAAAACGACAACAAACACCGCTTGCGTTGAGTGGGCTGGATGACCGATGCCAGCAGGAAAGGAGAGCCAGACACATCGCCCGCCCTAGATGAGTCAGACCCCGATCTAGACTATGAAGAAGATGAGGAGGACGAAGGGAGGGAGGGTGAGAGGGGAGAACCGGACACGTGCAGCATCCTTTCTGATGACTCTGTGTACCCCGTCTATGAATCTGCTCCGTCTGCCAATGGTGATGGCACAACGCTCACGTTCTACCAGATCTGTCTCAAGAACGATGCAAAGCTATTGCAGGAGAAACTTGACAGAGGGGTGACCAGGGAGGAAGTCATGGAGCTGGACATCAATGGACGGGTAACTGGACTTCTCACAGCAGCACCTAAAAGCTAGCAATAAAATGGCCTAGGGGTGAATAGAAGGCCATGACTCTTAGCCATTCCTTAGAACAGAGCCATAGCCCAATCATGGCCGTTTTCTAGTCCAAGAAACCATCCCTAGCATCGCTGTCCCTAACAGGAAGCTATGGTAAACCATCCCAGCCATGCAGTGAATTCGACATGCCTTGTGGGGTGGCGACTGCACAGCAAAGTGGTCATTGTACCGCTCCACTGTGTGTTGGTGGCTAGCGCCATCAATTTTCACTGACTACATGTTTGGCGGGGTGGCACCAAGTGGGGTGTGCAAAACAAAAAGGCATGAATGAATTAGAGAGTTCCCTGAGGAAGGACATTTGTCCACACTACAACCGATCTGGTAATGTCAGGGAGCCAACAGGCAGAGCAGGTCATTCACAGGTGTGTGTGAGAGACAGAGACGCTTGGCAAAGTTGCAGTTAGTTTCTTTATTAAGGAAAGCAAAACACAGAGAGAGATATCTAAAGGGAAAGCCAGTTGTTCGAACCGGCTTGTAGCCCCTCCTTCATTCCCGTCCCCTCTGTGCCAGGCCCCTTCCTCTGTGATCTTCTGCTACGGCAAGCTGCAAGGGACTCCCTCTGTGTCTGCCTGGCTCGCTTCTTGGCAACACACAACAATCGTTCTAGGCATGGGTTGGGGGCTGGAAAGCTATCATCAGCGAAGCTGTCAGAGTAGCTCTGAGGGAGAACTGCACGGTCTAAATCTCCTGTGTCCTGGCTGTCTGTCGGCGCCTGTATCCAAACTGGAAACCTCCTCAGCCTGTTCTGTCTCTTCGCTATCCCTCAAGAGCCCTGATTCTAACAGTTCCCAGCCCATCCCCTCCTCTGAGGTGTGGCCAGTGTCCCACCACCAGTCCCCCGGCTCAAAACCCTCTTCCTCTGTGCCTTTCCAGAGGAGGGGTGCTTAGTTATGCAGATTCCACATGTAGGTTCTAGAATCCCATGCTTATACATGGCTTCTCCCCAGCCCTTTATCCCGGGATTGAAATTAGGAGCGAGTTAGACCATCAGTTCATCTAGGTCATTACTGTCCACACTGACTGGCAGTGGCCCTTTTAAGGTTTCAAACCAAGAGTCTTTCCCAGATCTGCATATACAGAAATGCCAGGGATTGATCCTGGGAACTGTTCCATGCAAATCATGCTTACTGAGCCACAGCCCCTCCCCTGCACTGGCAGCATTGATGCCCTGCTATCGATAACGCAAACAAAGGACTTTGTTCCTGAGTGGTTTATAAATATCGCAAAAGACTGGAAAAAAATGAAATGTGTTATCATGGCGTTCCAGCCATCCTCATGTGTTCAGTTGTACTTTCTTTCCATGCACGGTAAATAGAGGAACAGTATCAGCCGCATTTTGTATTTATAGTGGTACCTTGGTTTTCGAACATCTCCGTTGACAAACGTTTTGGTTTTCGAACGCCGTAAACCCGGAAGTAAACGCTTCCGTTTTCAAACACACCTCGGAAGTTGAACGGCTTCCACTGAGTGCATATGTTATTTTTCTCAATTTTCTCTATTAAATCTGCAGGCCGCCCTTTGCGCCTTGGTTTTCAAATGTTTCAGAACTCCAACGGTCTTCCAGAACAGATTATGTTTGAAAACTGAGGTGCCGCTGTATTTCATAACAATTTATATACTGCTTGATTGTAATAAAACCCCAGAGCAGTTTGCAAAAGGAATGAACAATAAAATTAACAATTAATAACAAGTATTTAAAACATTTTTAAAAAGTAATTTAGGGTAGGGGGGGTTAAATTAAAAAAACCACAACCAAAACATTTGTGCTATGTCCTGACTGACAGGTAGCAGTGGCAGGAATGCAATAGGAGTGGCTGTTATTGCTGAGGTGCTGGAACCAATCAGTGACTGGCGCTCAGGCTTTGTGTGGCTGCTGGGAGAGCATCGGAGTCACCCCTGGGGCAGGAAGTGCCATTTTGTTGGGACCAAAGGACTGTGTTTCTGGGCAAGATAGGCAGGAAAGATGTACGAGAGGTAGCATCACTTGCTCAAGTGGCTGAACCTTAACACCTGTTCCCTTTTCCTCCACAGAACGGCCTATTGGTGTCATGTTTCAAAGGCTTCGTAGACATTGTCACCATTCTCAGCAAATGTCCCTACATAGATATCAATCATCAGGATAAAGATGGAAACACAGCACTCATGATAGCAGCTCAGGCAGGTAGGAAGTGTCTTGCTTTTATACAGTTGAGCAGGGATGGCAGACGGAGACAAGGAAGGTTGGGCATCTGGCCAGGATTGCTCTACTTCCAACAGTGACTTCAGGGGCTACTAACCCTGATGACAGGCTGCGTTCTTCCTCCGCTTCTGGGTACCGGTTGCTGGAAACTGCAGGGTGGGAAAGCACTCTTGCACAAAGATCCTTCTTTTGGGCTTCCATAGGCATCATTTTGGCCACATTAGGAACAGGATACTAGACTAGATGGGCTGCTGGCCTGATCTAGCAAGGTCTTCTTATATGCTTAATTACGAGCAAGCAGATGATAGATAGATAGATAGATGATAGATAGATAGATATAGATAGATGATGATAGATATAGATAGATAGATGATAGATGATAGATAGATAGATAGATAGATAGATAGATAGATAGATAGATAGATAGATAGATAGATAGATGATAGATAGATAGATGATAGATGATAGATAGATAGATGATAGATAGATAGATAGATAGATAGATAGATAGATAGATAGATAGATAGATAGATAGATAGATAGATGATAGATAGATAGATAGATAGATAGATAGATAGATAGATAGATAGATGATAGATGATAGATATCTTGTGATTATTTCGAATTAGCGTTCTGGCAATGAGAAGTAAAAGGGGTTTACTGAAAGGTGACGATAAGCTCAGGTTGCAGATGGCCATTCCTCTGTGAAAATTGGAGCCAAATTGTATCATCTCAATAAAGATCAAATTTGATGAATATTCTGAAGGCAAGATGTGCACATTTGAATTCAGGCCTCTGTTGGCATTCCAGATTTGCAGAGGAGTTACCGTTTCACACTTCCTTCCCTTCCTAATTTATTTGTCTGTTTAGCGCCCTGTGATTTGTTTGTGCAGACTGTAGCCCAGACTGCATGTAACGCAAAGCCAAACTATGGCTAAGTGCGAACAGGCAAGGGTGCAGTTGCCCAGAGCAAGAAAGGTTGCCGGTTCTTTCTTCCCCCCAGTCCTGCTGCCGACATGCTACCTGGAGCTAAGCTATAGTTTGGCTCTATGGAAATCCAGGCTAATGGTTTGTCTCGCTCCCAACAAACCACAAGCTGTTACTGCAGTTTGTTCTTGGCTTATTGGCCATGGTGCTCTCAGGTTTGGACGTAATGCTAAACTAAACCGTGACTTAACTCTGCAAAGCAGCCACTCTTGGTCTTGCACCCTCATCCTGCTTAGCCATGGTTTGGCTGAGTATTATGTGTGAACAATGCCTGTGACTGATAGATGGCTGAACCACAAAAAACAGACCCAATTAAAAAACAGCTCAAGACGGTTAAATTCACCAAAAGTGCAATGGGAGGGGGGGATATGAAACAATGGAGGAGATAGATATAATATAATAATAATAGTCAAGCATCATAGAGTTAGAAGGAACCCTGAGGATGATCTACTTTAACCTGCTGCAATGCAGGAATATTCAGCAATCCCTTATGGGGATCAAACTTGTAACCCTGGCGTTATCAGCATGAAACTCTAATCAACTGAGCTATCCAGCTGATAAGTATTTAAACTAGAAGAGTGTGTTTGGAAGTGTATCCACTGTGTTCAATCCAAATGCATTTTTCTTTCTCCAGGATTGAACTCTGCAAGAAAGAAGCAGAATATGGAAGTGCTTTTTGCAGAAGCAGTTAGCTGTGCATAGCACTGATTGGCTGGTGCCTGTGACTTTACCACGAACTCTAGTGTTCTTCTCCCAAACACACCTTTTAAAATAAGGGTTAGGGTTCCTTTTTCCTTATTTTATTTTAATGGAAAGCACTTTTAAAAATAGGGGGGGTGGGAAATAAACCGTCTTTCTGCAGCATGGAGAGAAGGCCAAGACTGACAGCTGAACCAGTGTTTCATTGGCTGGTATTTACATCTATCATTCAAATTCTGAAGCTCAGTGGAGCTTTACTGGCAATCATTGTAGGGCTTTGAGGATCTGGGTAATGTGACCCCCTCCAATGCGCTAGATAACAGTCAGGCGTTGGCATTCTGCATCAGCTGCAGCTTCTATAACATCTTTAAGTGCAGCCCCACCCCCACTGTAGTAATCTGTTTTGGAAGTTATTAACACTGGTTAACTGAGGCCAAGCTGTCCTAGTCCAGGAATGGCCACAGCTGATGGATGGATCAGTCACACCTGGGCCTGGCATTACTCGCCACCAAAGACACTTGAGCCTCTGGCAATAATTTAGAATCAAGGAGCAACCCCCAAGCCATGAACCTAGTCTTTCGGAGGGCTTCACAGGGACACAATGGTGATTTGGGCTTGTGTCAGGCTGCTAGACATCGGCCACTCACAGGGCCGTCTTACCCATAGGCACTAGGGGTGCAGGGCACCCGGGCGCCAGGCTCTCAGGGGCGCCAGGCCGAGAGTCTGGGCCCCGAGAGTTGAGTCTGGGGAAGAGCCCACCCATCGGTCAGCACGCCACGGTGGTCTCTTCTGCTGCGGGTGGCTCTGCGCCGTGAGTTCAGGGGTGACCGAGCCAGCGAGACGCTGAGGTGGCTGGCCGGCTCTGCCATCCTGTGCACCTGGGACTGGGCAACCGGTTTGTGTGCACTGGGCAGATCTTTGCACGCCTGCGCCACATATGCTTAAGACAGCCCTAGCCACTCAATTCCCAGAGGAAAGGAAAGTCTACATGGACGGGAAAATAATTCATTGTGTGTTAACTCTTGTGGTCTTTAGTGCATGCTAAACCTCTGAGAAACATTTCAATGCCTAACACCGTTTCCTTAATCTCTCTCTCTCTCTCCCTCTCCATGAAGGACACATCACTATTCTCAACTATCTTCTTAACTACTATCCAACACTGGAGCTGGAGGTGCGAGACTTGCGGGGTCTGACTGCACTCATGAAGGCTGCAGTACAGGGGAGAAACGACTGTGTTGCAGCTTTGCTCATGGCAGGTATGTCACTCCTCATTAGCCAGTTCAGGAGGAAAGGATTTTTAAATCCGTTTTTTAACACCTGCTGCTCATCCTTCAAGTGTTCAACAGTGGCTGCTGCATCTAGCTGCCATTGCAATTTCCTACAATGTCCCAATAATGACGCTGTGTCAGTAGCATTGTGGAAAATTAAGGTGGCAGCTAGACCCAGCCACTTGGTGCTGCTTAGAGAGCCAAGCACCAGCAGTCTGGTCCTCCAAGTGTCCCTATTTTCCAGGAGCACTCCTGGATTTACAGAAGCCATCCCAGTTTCTGATTTGATCCCGGAATGTCCCGCTTTTCGTTAGGACCTCCCTGTTTTCATCAGAGAAATGCTGGAGGGTATGGAGTTATCTGGCCCCCCGAGCCAAGGAGACAAGTAACTGTACAACCTTTAGAAGACATCTGAAGGCAGTCCTGTATAGGGAAGTTTTTTAATGTTTAATGTTTTTATATATTTTTTTAATGATATTTATTAAGGTTTCAGTAAAAGATTAAACAGAAAAACATAAACGAAAAATACACAATTCAAAAGAGCACAATACATAGTCCAAAAAAAAAGAAAAAAAGGGGGGGGGAAAGAACAAAGAAAAAACAAAATACAAGACAAAAGGAACAATTAAAAACAATATCACCTTTTCGTTTCCATCTTTAAATTTACTTGTTTTCTGGACCTCCTCATACCTCCCTCTTTTGTATTCCAGTTCAAATTGATTGTCCAGCAATTTCTTTCCCTCTTTTTTAATCCCAATCTTTAATCTTAATATAATATAACATTAAAATTTTACCTCTTAAAAGCCAAATTTCCATTACCTTAAACTTCTTTAATTCTAATCCTTAATCTTAGTTTATCTGTAACTTTAAATCCTATACAGCTGGAAACCACTCATTTTCAATCCAACATCACTCTAACATTCTTTAATTTTACAGTGTTTCTGTAGATAATCTTTGAATTTCTTCCAATCTTCCTCCACCAACTCTTCTCCCTGGTCACAGATTCTAATGTTTAATGTTTTTATATACATTGGAAGCCACCCAGAGTGGCTGGGGCAACCCAGTCAGATGGGCAGGGTATAAATGTTGTTGTTGTCATTGTTGTTGAGTAGGACGTCCCTATTTTCATCAGAGAAATGTTGGAGGGTATTATCAACACATCAGCAATGGGCCCTGCCAGCTGTCTGAGAATGCCCTGAGTGTGAGGAGGGACAGATGGCTCAAACACCCTGGCATGCCTTACCTATGGAAACAAATCCAAGGGAAGGATGTTTTTCCCTTACCATTCAGCCTCCAAAGCAAATACAGTTCTCCTGTTTGATCCACAGTCGTACCTTGGTTTTTGAATGTCTTGCGACTTGAACGTTTGGGCTCCCAAACACCGCAAACCCAGAAGTGAGTGTTCCAGTTTGTGAACTTTTTTTGGAAGCCGAACATCTGCCGTAGCTTCTGATTGAGTGCTGGAAGCTCCTGCAGCCAATCGGAAGTCGTGCCTTGGTTTTCAAACGTTTTCGGAAGCCGGACGGACTTCCGGAATGGATTCCACTTGAGAACCAATGTGCGACTGTGTTTGAAAAAGGCTGAATTGTTCAAAAACACAAAGCAGAGGTTTCATTCAAGACTGAGTTCCCAAAGAGTCTCTCGATAGCTAGTGACTCTTCACTCACCTCTTGTCAACACTGAATAACTCACATTAGGCGTAACTTCTGATAAGCCCCCTTAGTATTTGCAATCCTAGTACTGTACTCCAGTATTTCTACTCCTGTGCCAGTGATGGAAACCAGAAGCTCTGTCTGCTCACGTTCTCGATCTAACTCTGTAGATGCCTTTTCACTTTGTACCTACTGCCATCTGCAGGTCCTTGCAAAGGACAACATGTGACCGATTCATGAGTGCCCCAGTGCCATCTAATGGCAACCTGTGGGCCAAATTAAACACGCTTGCAGGTTTTGTGCCTTTTTTTCTATTTAGTCCAAATAGGAAAGAGGTGTGTGTGTGTGTGTGTGTGCTGATTCAGGATCAAGACTACAAGTTAGGGGTTTTTAACCACTTCCTTACTCACCATGAACCAGATGAAAGTCACCCCCCTCCCAAAAAAATAGCTGCTCTCACCCCACAGAAGGACTCTTCCCATTGGTTCCAGCACAGGAGAACTAGGGAGATCTTTTCCTGCCCAAAGGACTTGTGCAATTAAGGCATGCAAAAGTTATATGGCCAGTACCATGTGCAATGAGCCCCATGGAGGTGTCATGGCAGGAATGGTCAAATACTGAGGAGGAGCTCAGGTGTCAAGGTGCTATCAACGAGCCAGGGCAGGCACAGAGCAGGCACACACACAAAAGGCACGGGATGCAATTAGCTTTTTATTAGCAGGGGAAAAAACAGCAATCAAGCAATGTCCCTGGTTTGTCTTAACTCAATGAAGGCGTTGCTGAAACTAAGCTCTAGGAATGTCCTTCCCCTCTAGCCGCTCATTCTGGATCCCTCCCTGGAGGACGAAGGCTGCTTCGAGAGGATGGCCTCCTACTCAGGGCCAGTCTGATGCATTGCTCAGCAACATGCAGAATCCTCCACAAGCAGGGAGTCACAAGGGGTGGAAAGTCAACAGGACTGGGACGGTCTGCACACCCACTATGACTCTCAGCTTTTAATCCTGACCTGGAGGACCCACCTTCTCCTGATGCCCCTTGATCGCTCAAGTGCCCTGTTTTTATCAGATTCCAGCTCATCCTTTCCACTGATTGCTCCTCAGTTTCCCACCACCAGGCTCCAGGCTCTAAGGTGTTATCCCTGGGGGGCTCTTGGGAGGCACTCTTGTTCATCTAGCCAGTCCAAGCTCTCCCTGGGGGGGTACGGAGTCTCAGTACTGAACTACCCCCATCCCCTGCCCCGTTCATTCTGCACTATATACCAAAAGGGAATGGACCACGGCAGGCTCCCTAAAATCTTGCGATTTCTCCTAGGAGCCGACCTCGCAGCTGTGGACCCGGTGAAAGGAAAGACAGCGCGGGAATGGGCAGCCCTGACGGGGCGCTTTGAAACAATTGTCCGGATCCGAACCCTTCTGCAGCGCCCATGCGCTGAGCAGTTCTGCAGCAAGTACTTGCCGCAGTGGCCCGCTCTGCCCGAGCTGGTGGCGCAAGCAATGGCCACAAAATCCAGAGCCAAGAGGCTGTCGGAGACGATATGCTCCACCTTCACCATAAATTTCCCACACGACCCTGAGCCGGATGGTGTGATGGACCACATGGTGCGCATGACCACTTGCTTGGCCAGTCCATTTGTGGGCACTGCTTGCCAAACCGTCTGCCCAGACAGCCCGCCGGAAGTGGGGAAGCAGAGACTCTCAGTGCCCGAAATCCTGAAGGAGTACACGCCGGATCCTGATGCCAAATCCATGGTTAGTGCGTCGGCCTGCAATGGCCAGCTCATGACACCCACCCGGGTTCTGGTGCCCTACCGGCCCCCCAGCACCATCGTCAAGCTGCTGTCGTTCCCCTTGCGCATGCGCCATAACAGCATCTACCCGGTCCCGAAAATTGAACTCACCAAGTCGCCTGCTCAGTCGCCACCCAAGGAGAACGTGCCGCCACGTTCTCAGGACAAGCACATGCTGGAGCTGCCAAAGTGGCGCTATAAGGAGCTGAAAGAAGCGAAGAAGAAGAAAGAGGAGGAGGAAGGGAAACCCAAGAAGAAAGGGAAGGGAAAGGGGAAAGGCAAAGGCAAAGGCAAAAAGTCATAACAGCTTGAGGGAGGGGAGCTGGACAGATTGGGAAAAGAAACTGCAGTCAGCTCACATTCCAAGTGTAAATTTCAACTCGCAGATAGATTACTTCCGCCATAATTCATCAGTCTCAAAAGTAATTTTTAAAGGGGATGTTTTGTTTACCTTATTCCCTGATGACTGACCCTAAGGACTATTATGTAGTGTTTGAGCACAATCGAGGTTCCTTGCTTTAAGTCACTCACCCCTAGCCAGATCCCCCAAAACATCTCGATCTCCCAGTGTGGAAAGCAGCTTTTTCAGAGCATCAGAACTTAATCCCTGTTCTCCCTGTTTCCCAAGAGAGAATGTGATAATAACCAAGATTTATGGCTTGGTTGTCATTAATCACCACATAATTATCTCTGTCAATGGAGTATAGACAGTAGATGACTAGTCCGCCATCTTCCTCTCCCCGGAAGTCTCTACTCCAGTGGTTTTAGATAACATTATTGCCCACTCATCATTCTTGACCAGCTTTTGCCAGGCTAAGGGACCAACAAATGGGATGCGTGGAACAGGACTTGGGTGCTTCTTGCAGAAGGGAACGCAGAGTAGAGCAGCGGAAGTGAAAAGTGTTTAATCCCCATCCTGCCTGCCATTTCTCAGCTCCAAATTACTCATTCTCATCAACCCTCATTTCCCATTCTCCCAGGTTTCAGATGTGTGTTTGCCCTTATGTACAGAGCTCTAGGGCAGAGGGGAATTTGGAGAGGATTTGGAACACACACCCCAAATGCACACAAACACACACTTCTCCGCTCTAATTTCCCTTCTCCCAAAGCAGTTCTGTTTAAAAAGGAATCAGGGAACGGCCACATACATTCACATCAGCACTGGATTTAGGATGGTGTGGGGAGTTCCCCCACTCAGGGCACCAAGCTGAAGGGGTGCAAAATAACAACAACCTATATTTATACAGGTACCTACTGAGATGTTCCATAAAAAAGCAACCGTACCAAAAGGAATTATTGTGAAAGGAGGCAAAATGAATTATTAGAAAGGGGGCAAAAAAATATATATCCTTGCTCAGGGCACCATATTACCAAAATCCACCCCTTTTCACACTGATGGTGTGAGATATAGTTCACCCCTAAGACTTCAATCTCACCAAGCCCTTGTTGCTTCCAAGGAAACTCTTTCTACGTTAAGGTGAAGATGGAAGTTACATTGGTAGAGAAGCAGGGCTGGGTTGGAAATGCCCTTTCCACCTTTAGTGCAAATTACCGGTATATACCATTCTCTTGGGACGCGGGTGGCGCTGTGGGTTAAACCACAGAGCCTAGGACTTGCCGATCAGAAAGTCGGTGGTTCGAATCCCTGCGATGGGGTGAGCTCCCGTTGCTCGGTCCCTGCTCCTACCAACCTAGCAGTTTGAAAGCACGTCAAAGTGCAAGTAGATCAATAGGTACCACTCTGGCGGGAAGGTAAACGGCGTTTCCGTGTGCTGCTCTTGTTCGCCAGAAGTGGCTTAGTCATGCTGGCCACATGACCCGGAAGCTGTACGCCGGCTCCCTTGGCCAGTAAAGCGAGATGAGCGCCGCAACCCCAGAGTCAGTCACGACTGGACCTAATGGTCAGGGGTCCCTTTACCTTTACCTTTACCTCTTGCACCAGATTTCAAGCTCTGGGATGGTGGGCAGCAGAAGCGGACTGTGGCTAGCACTTGTGATGTCATCCAGATAGCACAATAGCACATGTGATGTCACCTCCCATATCTCCAAAGTGGTTTTGTCCTCGTTTTTAACACCTGTCCTGAAAACTGTGCAGCTGGGAGGAAGATGAGCGCAGTCTCTATAAGTATAGAATCCCCAGCGACTTCTCTTTAAATATTACTTCCGTCTTCACCCTTAGCAAGGCCCCAATGTGCTCTTCTCAAAATATTCACAGTTCTCATACAGATGCAAAGAGACTCAGATTTTGCCATAGCCCTGTCAACTATACCCCTGTCTCACAACCGTTTTGCATTTTGCTGACTTAGCAAAAAGTTCCTGACAAATCCCATCTGTACCGTAAGCCTTACAGTAAAGTTGGGATTTGTCGAAATTTCTCCGCAATGCTTTTTTCCAAGCCTTATTGTTTGCAGGGAGAGGAAAGGGGGACACACAGAGAGAGAGAGAGAGGGGGGGAGAGAGAGAGAGGGGGCAGGTTCATTATTTAACCATGGAAATTTTGGATCCCCTCCAAACCAGTGTGTGAGAGAGAAAGAGACAGAGAAGGAATGACTGACTGGATGACTAAAGTATGTTTGTTTTGCTTGTGTGTGTGTATGGCGTGTACTGTACATGTGTATGCATGGATGCATGGGATGTGTATGCACATGTGTTGGGGCACTAGAGAGAGGGTGAGGTGGCCCTACTCACTGCCAGCTTTAGCCACTCCCACTGTGTCCACACCCACTTTTGTTTTGATCCCACCCACCACTACCATGTGACTCCAAAAGGTTGGCCTTGATCCCCATTGGGATCTTCCAAGAGGGAGCCAGGAGGCCTTTATAGACCTTCTCAGTAAGGACAGCCTGGTGAGCAGAGTCACCCCAGCAGCTGGGAATCCTTTAATTCCCAGAGACGTACTTCACTTGGGGCAGCTGCGCACAGCGCAACAGGAGCCCAGTTCTTGCCCTTCCTGATGCCTTGTCCAGAGAGAGCCTATTTTGCTGCTAGAGTGGCTCTGTGTCCTACTTTACAATAGTGCTCTATTCCAAGAATACAGGAGGCCCTCCAGATGTTGTGAGCTACAACTCCCATGGCCTACGATCAGGCACCATGTTGGCTGTCCCTGCTCCATTCAAAGAGCTCTCTGGTGCCAGTCCAGTTTAAGAGGTAAATAGCACAGGTGCATGTCAACAGTTAGCACCCGGGCAGCAGGCTGAGATGTCACCTGGTTCCAGTCCTCCCTGCTATGATGAGGTGTACTGTATTTCTATGTGAACTATAGTAATTATTTCTAAATTTGCATCTGTAGAGATCAGGTCATATGCAAACTCAGCCCTCCAGATGTTTTGGGACTACAACTCCCATCATCCCTAGCTAACAGGACCAGTGGTCAGGGATGATGGGAGTTGTAGTCCCAAAACATCTGGAGGGCCCAGTTTGCCTATGCCTGGTGTATATGATACGCACATTCCATGCAAATCTACCCTTGTTTGTCCTCTTTTGTTGGTGATGCATGCCCTCCTCCTCCTCCTCCTCTTTTTGCAATGATTAAGCGCCCGCCCTATATTACTGGGTGTGTAGGGTGGGCCAGGGCAAAAGGAGAAGGGGCCCTTTACGTCTTCTTGATTTTAGGAAACCCTTAATAAAACTGAAAGTGATTGCTGTATGTGCGTTTATTAATAAACAAAACCTCAGAGCTGTGTCCACTTCGTTGTTGCTGTTCCCATCACCGCCAACAGGACCGGATTAGATTGGAGGAAGCTTACAAAATAGTTCTGTGCTGATACCTTTGTGTTAAACAAAATAAAAATCCATGAGGCCACTAAAGTCACTTACCTTGGACAGAGAAGAGATGAGCAAGTTGATCATATTCATAGGAGGGCAGGGACTCCTTAGAACTGCAGTCACCACCAAGGAAGCCAATGGTAGCTTCCCAGTATGCCCCACGGAGGACCTTAAGGTCCATAAATAGCAACACCCTAGTGGTCCCGGGCCCTAAGGAAGTCAGATTATCCTCAACCAGAGCCAGGGCCTTCTCAACACTGGCTCCGGCCTGGTGGAACGATCTGTCTCATGAGACCAGAGCACTGCAGGATCTGATTTCTTTCCACAGGGCCTGTAAGACAGAGTTGTTCCGCCTGGCCTTCAGCTTGGAATCAATTTGATTCCCTCCCCCTCTTCTTTTTTCCTTTCTCCTCCTGTGATGGAACTCCTATTTGGGGAGTTGCCTGGTTTTTTTCTGGCCCACGTAGGACCAGTCTGGATAGTTGGCCTTGGTGAAGACTTGACGTTTTCATCCCCCAAAAAGTTTTTGATTTGAGTTTCCATTGAAATGAGGCTGTATTTTAATGTTTTAATGTTGTATTTTAATCTTGTTTTTAAGTTGTATTTCAATCAATTTGTTTTTATATCAGGTGTTAGCTGCCCTGAGCCCAGTCTTGGCTGGGGAGGGCAGGGTATATAAAAAATTATTATTATTATTATTATTATTATCATTATCATTCCCAGGCCTGAGGCAAATAGCTGCTGGGGGGACGGTCTCTACTGGACTGCAGCACAGGTAGAAAACAAAACACTACATCATGTACCATGATGCTGATCAAGACCTCTCTCGCCACAGATGCTGTTATAAACCACTTTAAGGTTATTTTTTTAGAGGCAACCAAACAATAACCAAAAAAAATTATGTTTTCTGCTCCTCCCAATCCCAGAAACATGGCTCAGTGGGAATGTTCTGTAGCGGCATTACACAATATGCTGAAATAGCAAATGAATACAAATTCCCAAACCTGTTATATGTGCCAAGCTTCTGTATTTTCATTTTTTCTAACCTAGCATTTCCAAAATGTCTCCAAGCAACTGTTAACATTGCTATGAAAACAGTCAGGAAAGCTCTCAAAGGGACAAATGAAGCAATTGTCAGTCTCCTGAGATGTTTTTGAACCTGTACAGAATTCTGCAGCATTAGTGCTGTATATCATAAACAGTTAAAACCGCAAAAGACGCCCACGAGTATTTCAGAATCATGCAGAATTCTTTGTTGCCTTAGAGGCAAATGTGATAGTAAAATAGCTGCGTGTAACCCAGCTGCTGAAACATTTGTACAATAGGTACAGAGCATTTAAAAGAAAAAGTAAAGACCCCTGGCAGCTAAGTCCAGACTCTGGGGTTGCGGCGCTCATTCGCTTTACTGGCCGAGGGAATTTACGTTAGTCCGCAGACAGCTTTCCGGGTCATGTGGCCAGCATGACTAAGCCGCTTCTGGCGAACCAGAGCAGCGCACGGAAACACCGTTTACCTTCCTGCCAGAGCAGTACCTATTTA